CCCGTATTTTTGTATAAAAGCTTAATTCTTGGCTATAACATTAAATTTTTTTAATACTTCTTGAAAACCACTTGTCTAAAAACACACTCTTTATATACATGACATGCAGAAAAATATTTTGGTAATGATCGGAATATTTATCTCCGAGTATCGATTTCAAATCTTATTATAATATTCTGAAAGGTATAACATAGCGAATTATGAAAAAAATCGTTTTTGAAATTTCACACTGAGTTGAAAATCACTTGAACATTTTAGCTTTTGTCCCGAATAATTATCGTAAGTCCTTATGTAAAAATCCATGCTTTTATTCCTGAAATATAAAATTTTGTGATTAACAAATTTTATTAGCAATGCAACCCCCTGCCCCTAAAACCACCGAAAACTAAAATCTTTCGAATTAAATAGCAAACATACTTGTATAACCTCAAAAATAAAATAACGCACCGATAGTGTGCCTTCAACTTTTTTCCACTAACTCCACACAAAACCCAATTGCCAGAAATAAAAGAATTAAGTCGCCTGAAATTGCAATCTCAGCTTCCTTGCATATTTTAATGCTGCAAATATACCAGCGCAACACACAAACCACTTTATTGCCACAACTACTAGACACCGCTTACAAGTTCAATCTGCAACCAAAGCTAAGCGGCACTTCACGCGAATGAGAACGCGCGAACGCTGGCTGCAGATGCATACAAACATTTCCAATCGACCATTAAATATTGCAAGTTGGCGCTGCCACAAATGCGACGAACACGCGATAGTGTTGCAAGCGACGATTAATGGCAGCGCTGTCTGACGGAGGAGTGCTGCAATTCACACCACACTTTTTTCCTTTTTATGAATCGAGGTACTTGCAGTTTGGAAGCGTCGAGTTTTTCTTACGAATTTCCTTGCTACTCTTTGCATTTTTAGTGCTATTACTTTCTTCGTTCTTTAATTTTTTTCCAATTTTTTGGCTTGCACTTCCATTTGCGTTTAGGTTGACAGTTGCACGACGTTAAGTGCAACACAAATCTCTCACTCACCTCTCTCTCTCTCTCTCTCTTTCTCCCCCTCTCGTGTGCTACATAAACTCACGCATTTTCATAGCATACTTAGCGGCGCATAATCAACCAACCAACCAACCAGCCAGCCAAGCCAAGCCACCGAACACTTGCTCACCAATCGCGCTGATTATATGCTGATGGCGCGCTTTATTTGTCCTGAATTTTGCATAATATTGAATGGCATATTTCAATGCGCGCTTCCGCCACGAAAATAAATCACGACCAAACAGCAGAGGGAAAAAGCAAGAAAAAAAGAAACGACACCGACAAACAACTCATAAAAATAATGGATGTGTGAAATGAAAGCGAAACGAATGGCATGGCATCGCTATGCGAAAGCCACAGGAAGCGCATAAAATCACCAATGGGTTATTTTTATTTGAGCGCCAGCGATTTTTCAACAAACTCTTATCATTATTATTGCGTTCTATTTTTTTCGTTTTTGCGATATTTATCGATTATTTTTGTCATTCACACAATTTGTGTGGCGCTCTTGCTTTATGGTCAGCTGGTGTTTGCATTTATGCACCGTTATGAGCTTTGATTACGTTCGTGAAGGAGGCGAGCTACTAGTGGAAATCGTAGAAATCGCAGCAGCTGTGTTACGCTCACCGCAAATTGTGGATTTAAGTGTCGTTGAATACTCGATAAGCGATTTATGAGCGTTTGCGTCGTGCAAAAATATGTTGATGACAAGTGTTTAATGTTGTTTGCATACCTCTTAGCGATGAATGATAATATGTATATAATTTGTGTTGAAGTGTGAGTTTATTGGCGTGCTAAAATCAGAGGGTCCTTAAAGCAACGTTTAATAGTTATCTCTTGGATAGCTTATTTTAGAGATACATTGCGAGTTGGTCGTGAAGTTACTATGGGAGATATATGGATTATATGGTACCAAATGTTTCTGAAATATTCTAAAACAAGCTGTGGCTCATAACACCCATTTACATTTATTTTAAGTTATATTTATTCTTACTACAATCTTTTTCAATGCTCAGTAGTAAATAATAATTTTTATAATACAAGTTATCATCACTTGATGATTTCTGTAATCTCTTTGTTGAAGTACTAAGCTCTTATCAAAGTCTTTGAATTTTAAAGCTTCAGAAAAGCTATCGAGATTTTTCTATCTAATTATGCTAACTTTTCTGACTTATACCAGTTGTTTATTCGATTCGCAACGATAGTCAGAATGGACACTGTCAGGGGTATGAGCTGGGTGAGGTAAAACCACATAGCTGCTGTTTTCAAGATAGATTTTAACCGGCATTGCAACATGAGGCCGACCCTTGTCATGATGGAATATTGTTGCCATATATCTACTCGCATTTTCCGCGCCGCTTTTCGGCAATCGCTCGCTTCAATTCGGTGAGTTGTTGTCGGTAGCATTCTTCATTAACGTTTTTACCCGGTTTTGAAAGCTCATAATATTATACCAGACAGCCTTCTGATCCCATTAAATTCAGAGCATTACCTTTGAGTCATAGATATTCCGCTACGGCGTTGATTTGGCTGTTTGACCAGATTTCACATATCATTTTTTTTAAATTATGGTTGTTGTAATGAATCTTTTTTTTATCATCATCCACAATCCTATGCAAAAATTAATTAGTTTTGTAACCTTCAATCAGCATATCTGATATGCAAAATCGTTCTTTAACGCCTCTTGGCTTCAATTATATGGTAGACAATTTACTTGCTTTTAAATTTATCCTACTGCATTCAAACGTTCTGAAAGACAGGTTGGGTGACTTCCAAAGATTTTTTGAGCTTTTCTTGTGTTTGATAGCAATATTTATCCAGTAATGCCTTCAGTTTTTTCAAGCCAAAATCACCCCTTAAAATATACTCGATAACTCCCAATAATACATATAATCTTATGAATTTTTGTTAATAAAGTTTTACCATAGACAAATGTAACCTCAGGTTATTCGTGCTGTTTACTTATGGTTTCTATGAAGTTTATGGAGATGTTTCTGTCAACAAATTTTAACACAATCTCATCAAAGAATGAAGTTTCTAGTTATCGTTAAAGTCTTTACTCATCTTCAATATCACTTTGTCGTCCGGTACAATTCGTTTGCCATAAGTTTGCTGGTATTTGCTAGCATTGTAACTTATTTACTTTCAAAAAAGACACCAACTGTAAGTTTTATAGAATTTTCCAATTTTTTGAAATAAGTATATATTATATTTGATATTTAAATATATCTGCAATATATTTCAGTATATATAACTCCAGCTCTCTGAAAAATCTTTCAGTTTCTTATCCCCGAAGTTCACTGTTATTAACTAATATTGCTCTCAATTGTAGCTGAGAAAAGAAGAAAAGGTGTTATGCTTTGAACATATACTGACACTTAAAACGCAATAAATTCACTTGCAATAGATGAAACATGAAATTTTTACTGGAAGTCGATAAAGGATAGCAGATTCTAACGCACTAGTCGACATATAGATGGCGCCACTAGAGTTTACTTTCTTACTTTTTTACTGTTTACTTTGGAACGCACCTTGTATAAGGCAAAATAATTTAATACCTTAATTCAATCTTAGCATGATATCTCAAAAAGAAAGCAAGTATATAAATCAAATCAACTCAGTTAACTGTTTCAACTGACGCGTGTGATCAAAATAAAAACTTTTAAGAATTTCTACGACTGAACCAAGCTTTTATTAATTATGTTGAGCTAGTCTTCTCGTTCTTGACACTCTAACTCATATGAAAGCGTCAAGTAAATTGCTTGCATAAATTAAACACACTTTTAAATTTCCAAAACATCTGCTACTGTGATTTTTAAAGCTCAAAATACTCCGAACACAATTTGCTCGCACAAACAATTTAAAACGCGCCTCAATTTATTGCACCGCAACCGACATTATTTCAATTCCTTGCTCTTTCACTCAACAAACGCCGCTTTTCTTACAGTTCTGTATTGGTTTCGATTAAAAAAGAAAGTAAAAGAAAACAAAAAGGCAAAATTGTGCTCATAAATAACTTTTATGTATTAAGCGAAATTGATATTTTACCATTTCCGATCAGCGCAATTCATTTTCATTCTTACATTTCCGCACTTTCGCTTGCCAGCCGTCCTGCCGACGATGCGGCGCACGCAATGCGCCACTCACCGCTCACCGTCCTATATCAAGCGTGAACAAATCGTTCAATTGCTGCTCTTGCCCACTTTAAACTTACACTTGGCGCGCACGTCGCAGCTTTGCGGTCAGACGGCAGACTCCCGCCAGGACCAGCGACAAACCGCAAGCGGCACAAAGCCAATGCACAGACGAAGCCGACCGGGACGAAAACTGTGGAGAGGGAGATGAAAGAGACTATCATAAAGTCTACGTACATACACACACACACACTCACACTTAGAGTTGTATGCTGGCGAACACGCGCCGGCAAGCGAGCAATAAATTATGTTGTGCTGATTATTTTAAAATTACTTGCAATTGATGTGACTTCTTTTTATGCATCTATTTTCCGTTACATCTTTGTATTTTATAGTTTTCTTCCTTCACTCCCTCCTCTTGCTTCTGCAGCGCAATTAAAGTGTTTTCTTAGTTTTTATTTGCGCATTTCTTCGCTGTTTTTGCTTTGTTCTTGCTATTTCTTGTGCTTTGTAATTTTTTCTGTCGGTTTTTCTTTTCTTGTGTATTCACTTTCGTGCCTTTAACGCGATTTCTTAGTCAGCAAAAAGTGCCGCGTGCTCATCTAATTAAGTCCGTGCGCTTTGAATATCGCATTGCATTGTTGTTTTTGTGCTTATTTGTGCGATTGGCTGTGTGTTCGCTCTGCTTCGTTTCCAATTGATTGATTTTGCTTGATTTTCCCTTTGTTGTGTAAAGTGCAAAATAAGTTTTTTTCTCCAATTACCATCATTTTCATTGCAATTACCGTTACTTTTATAATATTTTTGCTATTTTTTATATATTTTGTAGATTCCACAAATTATCCTGCTAACTTTCGATGGTGCTGTAAACTTGAATAATTACGATCATTATTTGAAAATCTTCAACGGTAAGCGCACGAATCCAAATGGCTGTGTAATTCGTGGTACTTTCTTCATGTCGCATGAGTACAGGTGAGTGGGTACATACCCAGATATATCCATATACAGTATTGACCTTGAAAGTATTTTACAAAATATTTTAAGAGAAAATCCAAAATCAAAATATTTTAAGAGATAAATATAAAAAAAAAAACGTTAGCTTCAGCTACACCGAACCCCTGCACCGATGCATTTCCTATAGTACCATATATAAAAAAGTCTTTCTCTTTGAACAAGATAAAGCTAAAGATAAATATGGAGATAAATACAAAGATAAAGATAACATATCGCGCTCGGTAAAAATCGAACAGATATAGGAAAAACGAAACTCATTACTCTTCAGCCCACGACTTGTAACTCAACATGCCCGTATTCAACACACTTTAGTTTGCTACACTTAAAATCACCACAGTTCAGTTTTTAGTCTTTCTTTGTGCGTAGTTTGAACAGTAGTTAAATTTTATTTATAAATATCAGCCTTTCGTTTTTATGAATCATTCTTTTCCTCTCCCGAGTTCAGCAAAACCACTCTTTTTGTATATCGTTTAATTTAAGGAAAACTTATCAAAAAGTTATATACGTTAAAGTACGCAATTTGTTCTAAGATTTCTAAAACAGTAAATGCTATTATATTGTGTCTGTATACCAAATTTTGGTTCAAAGCTAATTTAAACTTACAATTCCGCCAGCATATCGCAATTAAAATGATATGGACGCAAACAGCTTTGGCTACTTAGATGTCATTATATCTCAGAAAATCACAAATTATAGATATATGAGACAAAGTAGGACACACAACCGAATAACAAGTAAGTTTCCGAAGCCCTAATCAGAGTTGTTCAGAATGACTGACTTTTATAACCGCCACGAGGAATAATTTAGTTTGCGGAAATGATTTTCTATATAACCCAAATCGTTGACCGTCACATCGACATGAGCCAAGTCAAGTTCTGAGGCAAGTTATGGATGGTAAAATGAATGCAGTGTTTTTATTGAAAGCCTTCAGGAAAAAGGACACTTTTTCTGAACTATATGAACAACTTCTCAAAACCTTTTTTAAATGTATGACTAGTGGTTGGTACAAACTTTAATAAATTCTGACTCAAAAAGTAATTATTTTCCCAGTCACCCTCCCGAATAAATGAATTTAAGCAATAATTATTGTATGCCACTTAAGGTCATTTCTCCAAACAAGAACCCTCATTTCCAAATGCGTTAAGCTTACACGACTCAAATTTGTGCGAACTTGCTGAAAGCAGACGAGTTTGCGCAAACAGCAGCACATCAGCACTTTTGACTGACACATGCTAGCGAGTCCAATCAGACGCTGTCTCACACACACGCGCGTATTGAGCATAAAGCAGCGGGCATCGTTCGTATCGCCAATTGAAGTGGCAACAAACTTTTCAGCACATCCTTCATATGTATGTATACGTAAAAAAATTTAAAAGTTACGTATACGCCCCGGCGGCGCGCTTAACTGACTTTCAATGAACAACACTGTCAAGCATATGCAAAGGCGCTTGAGGCTACTACTGTGATAAATGAGCAAACTTCAACTTGCATGCAATATTTCGCATACAACTCGTGCAACAACAGCAACTGCAATGTGAACAAATACAATAAAATAAACTTATAATGCTGGCAGCAAGCAGAAATTATTTTTAGCGTAACGCATTTGAGAGGCAATAGTTGGAGAAAATGCTAGCATGGCCGGCAAAAAGTATAAAGTTGAATTTTTAAATGTTTTACTTTTTTTTTGTGGTATGTGAGTTTATGCCAATTGCGAAGTGGGAGAAACCTTTAACTTTTTATTGTTAATAAAACAATTTAGAAAATACTGTTTCTCTAGAAGTTTACAAGGCTATCTCACATTATTTATAAGAATATTGAAATATCTTCTGAAATTTTTACCTTTTATATTTTTTGAATGACAGAAATATCTTGCAGTCGTTAAACCTTGACTATACCAACAAACATTCAATATATTTGTTAAACTTTAGCTCAGTGAGCTTAAATTCAAGGTCTAATATTTGAAGAGTGAATGTCGAGTGAGCCCTAGCCCCCAAACTAGCCCAAGTGTTGTTGATATGAATTAGGGGGATTCTCCCTTTGCGAAGTTGGATTAAAATCACATATATTACTGGTACTCACAGCCGTCAGGGCCAGTTTATTATACAACATTTTAGTTATGAAAAGTATAGGAACTAACCTATATAATCCTATATAATCCTGTGCGGAAAATTTTATATTCTTAAATGTAGCGACAAAATAGTTTTATATGGTGAGGAAAGTGCTTGTAAAGTAGAATTGATACCAAATGTGCCAGAGTGAAACTAGTTCAGAGCTAAAGTATTTTTTTACATGTTAGCACTTCCATGGGTATAAATTTGAATGAGAATACGCAGGAAAATTCTCTATCATTTGTAGCAATGTGTGGTCTGTGGCCACAGCTAACCACAATTGGATTGCCCAACATTCTAAATTAAATATTTTATCAATGCAGTCGAAGAGGTTATATTGCATCCACCATATGACAATTATAAATGATGCATATGTAGGTTGGTATACTTAGACAAAATATATTTTAACATAAAATCAAAGCGGCACCATGCAGTTTAAACAGATTACGAGTATATTTGATTTACTTCAAAATATGCCTCATTGCACCCTGAACGAAGACTTTATAATACATATATATATTAGGGTGGAGCGCAAAAAAAAATTTTTTTTATCTTAGCCTGATTATAAAATAAGAAAATTTTTGGAAAAAACATTTTTTTAACATCTAGAGGCCCACTCACTTTTAAAGTAAATTTCGAGTTAAAATTTTTTTTGAACAAAACAATTTTTTTTTTATTTATACTCTTCACATTTATATAAAAATTACCGAATTTGACGGTTTTTGACTCAAAATTTAATTTAACGCTTAAGGAAAGCATGTTGTCATTTAAGACTTTTTTTTAAATTTTTTCCAATAATGACCACAAATTTTTGTTTTTAAGTTTGAAATATATATATCAATGCTCACCATGACAAGCTGAGTCGATTTAGCCATATCGGTTCGACGCGAACTAGTCTCTCAGTTTTTGAGATATCAATCTGAAATATATTCATCAAAAAGCTGCTTGTTTGTAGGAACCACCGATATCAGACAACTATAACATATAGCTACCATAAAAGCTGAACGATCGGAATAAAGTGCAAAAAATTTGGCCTGGATTATTGTCTAAGGTAATGGTGCTATCTACCAGGCAATTATTCTGATCGGATCATTTGACCATATAGCTGTTACACAAACTAAACGATCGGAATCAAGTTCTTTTAAGGAATCTTTTGTATTTGTGAAGATTATTATAACTGCAATACAACCGAAGTCAATTTTTTTTTAAGTTTTATTAAAAAAAACATCTTTATATCTGAGAATATATGTAGATAAGGGTCTTTGTTTTTTGTTGATTTTTTTATTGCCGACGCCCCCCAAAAATTCAGTTTTTGCTCTAAAAAAACATTATCTAAAGTAAAGAAGCTCTTTTTGATATTTCGCTATAAACAAGGAAATCTACAACTTCAAAAAATTAGTTTTCTAAGGCAGAATTTTTCAGCTTACAAAATATTTTTCTAAGAAATCATCTTTTTGAAAGTTATACACAGTGAAATTTATACATCAAATGTACTGAGTATATAAACAAGTGATTTATAAATTCTTTGTTGCTCATACGACATGGTGTGCTGTTAAAAACTAACTTCTTCAAAAGAAATCAACTTGGAAAATAACACACTACTGTACATGTACTGACTCTTATATATATATATAATAATTTCATCATATTTCCTCAAACTATTCACTCACATATTCTCACAACCTCCCTCTAATATGGCACATATGTATGTGTAATCTGCTCCGAGCGCACTTCACTTGAACTGCTGAAAAGCGTCGCGAGTTGAAAAAACCAACGCAAATGATTTAATGTGACTGCGTTTCAAATTGTTTCAAGTTATTTCGAGTTGCGTTGATGTCCTGGCGACATAAAATATGGCACTCTCTCCACGCTTTTCGCTTGTCCTCCACACAGTTTTTTTCGCCTGCTTTGGCTGTCAACTACTCTGAACTGTATTTCGGCGCTTTCAACACATTCAAAAATTTGAAACAGCAAGATTTATTTGATATTTCAAGTGTAACTTCGTTTCTACTGCAAAATGTGCGAAAGTTTCAGAGAGTTATATAAGTACAGACCTCCAAAAAAAAGATCCAAATTCAAGTACACTTGTAAAATGTTCTGAGGCATTAAATTTGAAATGTGTGGGCTCTTGAGTACTTGCTCACTTAAGCAGTGATAAAAGTGCGTACGTTGAGTTTTTTTTTTTTGTTTTGAAGAAAGTTTAACAATTTAAGCATTGAATGTCGCCAATGCCTTTCTCTAAAAGTTAGGCTGAATTGATATGAAAATCAAGAAATATTTTTCACTGAAAAGTAGTGTTTGAACTAAAAAAGCATAACCAACATTTTAAATAATTGGGGTTTAATATTAAAACAACGTAGATTATAAGGTGTTAAGTAAATATCATTTAATCTAAGCACCATTTCATTAAATTTATTAATTTCTGTATTCCTGCTTAAGGTAGTTCATGCTTGAAAACCACCCATTTACACTATAAAATAAAAATTGTGCACGTTAATTGAGAACTGTGGCTTAGCAATTTCTTCTAATATAGGAGATTACGTTGAACCTTTTTTTTTAGTTTTGTATAAGGTAGTAAATCAACATTCGTATAATTTTTTTTTGCTTGTATACAAACCTAGTATTTCTCAAATACTTCGCAAAGTTGTTTTGTAGTCTCCATACTGCTAATGCATGCAATTCTAATGTATTTTACGATGAAGCCCTTTGATCAGCACTCTGAAGAGTGCTGGACTCATTACAGGTTAACTTGCTTGTTTTTTATTATCATCTATTCATACCAGAAATAGCCGCGCATTTTTTCTGACGTAATTCGACTTGAAATAGAAATACTAGATTCAAAGCCTTTGA